TATTTTGTTACACTTAATTCAATAGTAATATACATTTTCATATATATTGTATCGTATTATATCAATATTTTTTTTTTGTCGGTAAAAATAATTCATTTGAAGTCGATACATATATTAAATATATATGGACTATATTATTAAAAAATTTTGATCAAAGTAAAATATATATATATAGTTTTAACTATTTTTAAAATTTTAGTAAATAATTAAATAAGATGAAAAGAAAATGTAATAACGATGGTAATAATTGTAATAAATAAATATTGAATAAAAAATAATAATTTAAAATTAAAAATTTGACTTTATCAAAATTTAAAATAATCTAAATTAAATAGACGAAAAAAAAAAGTGTGAATAAATTGGCAGCAAAAAGAGTAAATATTATTCAATTAATTTATACTTTTATATTGTATATTTTTATTTAATATATGTATTGTCAATACAATATTGAATACAATCAATCACCATCGTAACTGCCCTTTTAGATAACAAACCCTAGTCTAGCTATTTATTTAAGTGGATATAAATTATCTATTTATTTAAGTGGATATAAATTATTTAAATTTTTTCACTCATTAATTGTGTCTCAATTGTAAAAGAAGATAAGGTCATGTTTGGATGGAGTGTAAATTACACAGATTTTTGCAAATCCTATCTAGATATGTTTAGGGTGTGTTTGTTTGTGTGTATTTTTTATTATTTTTTTAGAATTTAAAAAAAAATTAAAATATTAGATTGTGATATGATATAAATAAATATTTAGTAAAAGATTTTGAATATAAATTAACATTCAAATATAATTTTTTAAATAAATATATATATTACGATGGTTTAAAGAAAAAAAAAACATTATTGTAGCAGATGTTGGAAATTATGGGTGATTTTTTTATAATTTATTTAAATAATTATTCAATGTAGTTAATATTTTTAATATAGTACAAAATAAACTATATAATTTTATAAAAGATTATAATAATATTTGTACTGAAAAAAAAAATGCAAAGAGACAAAGCCGATATGTATTTTAAAGGAACAAACCCTCGAGTTTTATTATCTTTTAGTTTCTTTTATGTTATTTGTTAATTATATTATTAATTTATTGTTTAATAAAAACATATTTAATTAATTATATAAAATATATTTTTTTAAAAAAACTATTTCACCCAAAAATAAAGTAAATCAAAATATAAACACACACACAATCATTTCTGCATTTATCTTTTCATTTATGTACTTATTTATACATTTTTCCCAAAAAAATTAATTAAATATTAATTTTTGTTATAATATCAAGAAATTATTATTATTATTATTATTATTATTATTATTATTATTATTATTATAATTATTATTATTGCAAATGTGAATTTCATGGGCCTAATTTAAATATTTGTATATATTATCAATTTGTCCACTATACTTAAAGGCCCTCCTTGGATTATGTTAAACTGTCAAAAGGGTTCATGCGCTGTAAGATATTCATATGGCCCATTGTAATAATTAGGGACAATTTGCTTTATGTTAAAAAAGTAAGAAATAATACCAAAATGTATAAGTAATTATGTTAAATTAAAAGATAAAAATATTTTTAATTTAAAAAATAAATAAATAAAAAATGTATTAAATGGTATTATTATAAATATTTTAAATTATAATATAAAAATTAGATATATTTGTGGCAAATGACCAAATAAAACAAAACATATATTTTTCTTTTGAACTAAAGGAATAAAAGAATTTTGGGATTTTAAAATTTTAGAAATAGTAAAATATTGAGTATTAAAGTGATAATTTGTGAGAATAAAAGAAGATATTTTTATATAATATTTTTAAAATATATATATTGATGAATAATACAAATACTTTTCGAAAGTATATATATTCTCTATATTTCAAAATTAAGTATATTTTTTTTATATACGTAGATTTAATATTAATATTAATATTATATTTGTACGTAGTGTAAAATAAAAGAAAATTAAAATACTTGTACAAAACAAGGAAGAATACAATTAAAAAAAAAAAATATCAGCATCACTACCGAAATGAACAATGTTTGAGAAAATTACATAATATATATATATATATATATATATTGCACTTACAGCAATTAATTGTGCAAATAATACTCCATATGTTATTTAAATATATATATATATTCTGAGATTTGTCATAAAAAATGTTACTCTCTCCCATGTATTATGGGCCTATTACCGTAGATACGAGAATTCAGGTAAAGTGTGATTAGTAAGTAATTAAGAAATACATTAGTAAAAATAATTATTATATAATAAAAATAATTGTGGATTAAGATTAAAATTAAGATAACTAAATAATTTAATTAAGATTAAAAAAATTATAAAATTTTAAATTTTAAATGAGATTAAAGTGTATAATTATCTTTCCAAAAAAAAATGGACAAATTATGTGGGACGGACGAAAATAGAAAATATGAACAAATTATGTGGGACGGAGGGAGTAATTTTTTTTGAGTAAAAGAAATATTAATTTTCTGTATTTTATTAATAATAATAATAATAATAATAATAATAATAATAATAATAATAATAATAATAATAATTACTATATATTTTTATTAAAAATTATGCCCAATGATTTCCGAATTAAATGACAATGGAGTAATTGTGTTTTGATTTTGTAATTTAGTTAAAAATATGTAATACTATTTTTTTATATAATATTATGAAAGAACACACCTACGTTTTTCTTGAAAAAAATATGAGTGTATTTGTTTAGTATTTTTGGATGAATGTATTATTTGATGTTACATATAAAAAGTCATGTTGATAATATAAATTTTTTTTTTATTTGATTGTTTATTTTTTGTATGTGAACATCATATATATATATACATTATGTATAATTATATGTTTTGTATTTTTTAAATAATATTAACTGAAAATTATATCTAACATGCAAAGTTTGTTCACATTGTGTTTATAAGTGATAAAAATTTTCATAAATATTATTTAAGAAATACAATATAAATAATATATACACTTAATTTATTGATTTATAAAAAATAAATTTTCAATACAAAATATTAATTTTTATATTACCGAACAATTCTTATACCTAAAAAATATAAAAATAAAAAATAAACAAACCCAAAATAATTGGCTAAACACATTCTAATTTATTTATTTATTTTTGTAAACCTTAAATTAAAATTATTATTTATTTAAATAAATAATTCAAATCTCCAAATTCATTACAATAAAATTTCCAATAAATGAAGCCTCAATTAAATAATCGAAATGTTATAATCAAATTATTATATCTACCATACACGCCTGTAATGATTAACTCCACTTTTATTATTATTTATTTACTAATTCTAATTTCTAACTTTTCAATAAAATGTAAATATCAACACTTATTGAAAACTACACGTTAAAACAAAAATTGGACTTAAAATAATTACAAAATAAAGTCACACTCATCCACCAATAATTTCTAAGAATAATTCCAATAAAATGTGAAACACATGAATGTTACATACACATTGTAACAATGTCCATTTTTATGTCCACTAATTCTTGATCCTAATTCCTAAGGAACCAATTGAAATCGGAACCTCGACGCCAAATAAGTCGTATCTCGGCTTTACGCACATGCAAATTATCGATAAATATACACTCTTAACAATTTTATTTTTTTTTTTGGGACCAACGATCCCTTTCGGACCGACTACTGTTATATATTCCTTTCGTTCCATAAGTAAATATTCATTTGCTTTTTGTACGTAGTTTTAGAAATATTAGTATTATATTAGGATATAGTATGAATAAAGTATAAATTACTAAAATAACCTTATAAGTACGTGTGATATAAAGGTAATGACATTTGTGTAATATATTGTAAGTTGTAAGGATATTTGTAATGTTAGGCAGATAGTATAGTTACTAAAAAATTAAATGAATACTTTGTTATGAGACGGACTAAAATGAAAAAATAGATACTTTGTTATGAGACGGATGGAGTATATATATTCTCTTTATCGGGTAAAATTATGTAGATTTTTAGTTAAATACAGAGACTAAAAAATAATATTACTTTCGTCCAGCTCTAATGTCTCATTAACTTTTTGCGTGTTGATATTTGAATATTAATTATTATATCAAAAAGTAGTATAAATTAAGAAAAAGTTGCAAAAATACTTTTAGTACTGTCTTATAATACTAATAGAAAGACATTTGTACAAAATATTATACAAATATAAGGATTTTTTTTTTTATGTTGAGTACAATGACGCAAAATGTGAAAAGAGTAATATTTTGATGTTTAAGTGTTGTAGATAAAATGACAAGTGAAAGTATTATAGAAAATTTATTAAAAATTTGATAAAAAAAAAAAAAAGTGAGATAACAAGTAAAAAATAATAACAAATTGATTATTATTTGTTAAACTAAAAGTAACAAAACTATGACTAAATAAAATTATTTACTATAAATATATTTTAATAAAATCAATACTTAGATTTTTTTTAAAAAAAAATTTGATTTGTCATATGATGTTATATGTTAGTTAATTAATCAAGTTAATTAATAAAAATATTTATTAAATAAATTTAATTTTAATAAACTTTGACCCAAAATTGAAACATAAAAATTTAAAGTGAGACATTCAAAATCGAAAAATATAGCATAAAAACTTATTGAAATATTAAATAGAATAATTTAAAATTTATAGTCAACTTAAAATGTTTAAAATGCATGTCATCACAGACAAAACTAATAAATTTAAATTACTTTTAACTTAAAATTTTCAAGGAATCTAAGCATCAAATCAAATGTGAAAAACATTTAAACATTTTGACAATTAACTTATCATTTTCGTCCACTAATTCTTGATCATAATACAAAAGGGTCCACAATTCCCACCATATTGCAATAATCCCCCCTTCAACATTTTTCCCTAAAGATACAATTTTCGTCTCATCTGACTCTCCAAACTCTATTTAAACATCAGAATTATCGTATAGTATCATATCATATCATATCATATCGATTATTCGAATAAAAAAAAGTCGAATCTTTATAACAAAATTGTTTCACTTCTTGAAAAATCATGTCTTTCTTCAAGCAAAATTTGCTTACAAGCTTGAGCACCCGCTACGATTTCGACGAGGACGATTGGGTTCGGCAAATCCGGCAAACCCTAGACGAGGAACTCGAAGAGGAAGCTCAAGTTCCCGTCTCGATTTTCTCGACGCCAAAGCCGTTAATGGTAACCGATCCCGATTCTTACATCCCACAAATGGTGGCGGTCGGGCCTTTCCACCATCTCCGGACGGAGCTTTATGACATGGAGAGGTATAAGGTCTCGGCCGCAAAACGACAACAAAAGGAGCTTCCGGAAGACCTTAAAATCAACGATTTTGTCGACCATTTGATGAAGCACGAGCTCCGGATTCGGGCGTGCTATCATCGGCCGTTGAACTATAACGGCGAGACATTGGCGTGGATGGTCGCCATCGACGCGGCATTCTTATTCGAGTTTTTTCAGGTTAGGTTTGATCTAATATTAGTTTGTTGAGTATAAAAGTAAAAATAATAAAATATATAAGGGCCAAAAAAAAATTATGTTTTTTGAAAAAAATTATGTAAAATTAAATTAAAAATATAATCCTTTAATGAAGTATAGATGTTATTAGAAGACATTTTTTTTTTTAGGAGATTTGAAAATTCTTAGATGAATTTAAGTTTAGAGGTGAATTTTAAATATATATATATATATATTTGAATCATATTTCTATTTAGAGAGATGGAATTGAAATACATAGGATCAGCTTTGGAACTTACAATTACTTATGATGTCATGTTTTTTAAAAATAAAAATTACAATTAATATTCTTTTTTATCACTTAATTTGTTCACGCTTTAATTTAGTTCCATTTTTTTTATCATTTTATTTTTTGGAAATATAATTATACAATTTAATCACATTTTAAATTTTATAATTTATAATTTTTTTATTTTAATTAAATTATTTAGTAATCTTAATTTTAATTTATAATTATTTTATCAAATTATAATTATTTTTACTAATATATTTTTAAATTATTTAATAATTACACAATATATAAAACTCTGTCTAAGCTAAATGAGATAAATTAAATGGTACTGAGAGAGTAGAACTCTATCTGCTATCCAATTGTGCTTATCTGATTGGGTACAAATTAAAAAAAAAAAAAATAGATAAAGAAGTACGTATTTTATTAAAAAATAATATATATAATTTAATATAAAAAAATTCCTTAAAAAATGCACATGTATAGTTTTTTTTATTTATTATTATTTAGTTTCGTCAACATCACGGAGTAATTAATGTATTTTATAATTATTTTTTTTATATAATATAAGAATTTACGGTCATTATTTTTTTAATCTATTTTGGATTGATTTCGATAGAATCTAATAGTTGGTAAACTGGTAAACTAAATATTACGGGGGCTTCATGGATTCTATAATATCGAATGAAATATATTCTATCATGACACAATTTAATCATTACAGTATATTGATTTATATTTCGGGTGTCTGTGTCAAAATTTTACTATTCATTTCATTTTTTCTCTAAAAATATATCAAATGAGACACCTATTTTTTATTTTTTATATTATATTAAAAATTAATTTTACATCCAAAACGTCACATTAATGTACAACTATTCAAATTCAAAATTTTTACTATTCAAATCTCAACTCAAAATTCAAACTTCCAAACAAACACACCTTCGTGTGCTGTTAGTATTGTCCAGTCGTAACTAACTACAATCAATATTGTAATTGCCGCCTAATTTAAATTATTTTTCGAAAGGTTTGCGGGATGCAGGAAAAAAAATTCCAACCGGACGAGCCGATGAAATTCCCGCACCTAATCGAGTTGTCGGGAAACAACACGGCGTGCAACGAGATCCTCAAAGACATTACTAAGCTCGAGAACCAAATCCCGTTGTTCGTTCTGAGGATGCTTCTCGAGCTTAGGTATTCTTCTCTGGCTTCCGCCGATAAAGTTTTGTCCAAAATACTTTTCGGGATTAGTAAAGAATTGTCGCCGTTCAAAATGGTCGATCGATCGAATCGCCGTATCGAAATCAAGGAGTGCGCCCATTTGCTCGAATTTTTGTACCGTTACATCGCCCCCGAAGTAGACCCCCCGTCGAACGATCTAACGGTCGAGATTAATCACGAAGACGGCGACGACAATCAAGAATCCGTCGCCGCATCCTCGAAAACCGCAACATCTCCCGACGAAAGATTCTATGTTCGAATACTCGCCGATCATTTATGGAAGGTCGTTAAATCGTTGCATATCGGCCGTAGGATTATGAAACCTATCAAAGTGTTGATCAAATTGCCGTGGATGGTAATGTCGCGAATTCCATTATTACGCGTGCTTAAAGTCCCGATCGAACATTTGTTTCGAGCCTTCACGGCTAAGGACAAGAAAGAAGATAAGGAAAATAATCGAGACAACGACGGCGGCGATGGCGACGAAAAATCGCCTCCGCCGCCGTTGCTCGAAGAAATCGCGATTCCGTCGGTGACCCAACTTTCGGACGTCGGGGTTGACTTCGCCCCGACGAATTTAGGGATCAAAGGGATCGAGTTTGACCCGAAAACGTTGACTTTGACAATGCCCGTTATTGCCTTGGACGTGAATTCCGAGGTCGTCCTGCGGAACCTCGTGGCGTACGAGGTTTGTACGGCGGCGGCGGCGCCGTTATTTCTGACGAGGTATACGGAGTTTATGAACGGGATTATTGATACGGAGGGTGACGTGGCGATTCTGTGTCGGAAAGGGATAATAATTAATCATTTGAAGAGCGAGAAAGAGGTGGCGGAATTGTGGAACGGGATGAGCAAATCGATTCGGTTGACGAAAGTAGCGGCGCTGGACCGGGCGATTGCGGAGGTGAACCGGTATTACGGCGGCCGGTTTAGGGTGAAGTGTAAGAAGGTTATGGATAAGTACGTTTTCGGGTCGTGGCGTATTTTGACTTTTTTGGCGACCGTTGCTGTGCTGCTGCTCATGACTCTGCAGTCTTTCTGCCAGGTTTATACTTGTGGTAAGCTTCTTCATATTGCGGCGCTGGATTCCCACGGCGGCGGGGATTGATTCATTAATTAATACTAATTAGTATTAGTTAAGATTAATTAATTGGTGTGTGTTTGATTTAGTACTACGTTGGATGTGTGGATATTTGGGTTGGATAAGGTTGGTTGACTTTTTAGGATGCCGTGGAGAGAATTTGTGCGGGTTTTGTGTTCGGCCGGCCCGACCGGACCGGCTTGGGTTAATTGGGGTGTGTTGTTTTGTGTTTACGTTTGGATTTTATATTTTGTTTAATTGTTTGATGTGATAAATTTTTAAAGAAGAGAATAGTTAGTGTAATGATTGGGGTGAATATGAATGTAATGTTCATTGGAAAAAATAGAACAAACAATATATAAAAAAAATAAATCGAATTATATGCTAGTATATATTGTCTGTTTTATTTTATATGTATTGCCACAATATAGATTTTATGTTGACACCAATTGTAATATATATTACTCTATCTGTCATCTAATTTTTTTTAATTATTTTTTTTTTTTTTGTCATCTAAACTTATTTATATTTTTTTTTTTAGTAAAAAATACAATTTTTTTTATAATTTTCTTTTATTATAAAAGAAAAAATATTTAATTTGTATCCACTTTTTAAAAATTTGTGCCCGATCAAATAGACATAGGTATACATGATGAATGAAGTATATGGATTAGTGTCATTTATTATTAGTCTATTTGTTGTATTTTTATTATATAAACAATCATTTGTGTTATCATTAGCACCATATGGAATAATTACCTTTTTTTGAAGAGAATTATTTTTAAAATTTGAATAAAACTTACTTAATATGATATGTTTATAGTGTAAATTTAATTTTTCGTTATATAAAAAGTATATATATTAAACCTGAAGTATTTGTTTTACGAGATTATTGAAAAAAAAAATACATAGAAAAATGTGTGGAAAAAAAAATACTCCCTCCGTCCTACATAATTTGTCCCTATTTTCTATTTCCGTCCGTCCTACATAACTTGTCCTTTCTATTTTTGGAAATATAATTATGCACTTTAATCACATTTTAAATTTTAAATTTTCTTAATTTTAATTAAATTATTTACTTATCTTAATCTTAATCTTAATCTATAATTATTTTTACTAAATAATAATTATTTTTACTAATATATTTTTTAATTATTTACTAATTATATTTTACCTAATATTTCTATGGTAATAGTCCTATATTTCCTAGGACGGAGGGAGTAATAAAGAACACAGCCTTGAAATTTTTAAAATATATTTAATCTATAGTCCGAGACCAAAAATACACAGTAATGCAGCCCAGATGATTCAGATTTAAATTTGGGCCTAATGCCCCATTTTAACGGGCCATAAAATAAAATTATCATGTGAAGAAACGATAATAAAAATATTAAAATGTTTGTTATGTTTTTTTTTTTTTTTTTAAGTTCAATTTTATTTTATTTTTTTATAAAAATATTATATTTGAACTATTATATAAATAAAAGTATATAAAAAAAAAAAAAAAAAAAAAAAACGAAATCAGACTAAGGAAAATCCATTTTTTTATTAGAATATAGAAATAACAAAACGACAAGGTGTAGACACAGGTCACTCTTCAGATTCTCCAAATTGGCTCATTGAAAGCAACAAATTACTAACACACAAACATAATAAAATAATCATTATTATCTGAAATTGAACTCAAATATCTGCTTAAATTAATCAATAATTATTTGACTAAGCAAGAATTAAATAATGGAAAAAAAAAATTCAATCAAATCAAATATCACACGTCGCCATGTGTCAGTGGGCACTGTAACGCCAGCGTTACAAATTACATAAATTAATTATAATTATAATGCCACGTAGTCATTACTGTTTCTTTTCGGAATTACAAATTAAATATCTTTTCCTCTAAATCATTGTACGGGCACCGGCGGTTCGGTTCGCGACAGCTGTCAACTAGCCGTTACCTGTTCATTGGCCCCCAAATTGAATAAAACCCTAATTCCCAAATTACAATATACAGAAAACTTTTGCTTTTTGGGATTTTCCACATCGAATCGAATCCTTGTTTGTTCAAAAATTAGTAAATTATAGTAATAATGGATTTCCAAAACGCGGAATCGATCTATCCTTCCCAATGATGCGTCGCCGCGTGGGCTCGCGTTTTGTCCGCATTCAATCCAATTTTGCGTGTTTCTGGAATCGGCAGGAGCTGAAGAGGTTCAATTGTGAGTACATAGATAGCGGAATTCGTGTCTGAGAAGCTGTTTTGTAATTTGGGGGGACGAATCGGTGGAGAAGATGAAGCTCTGTGTGATGATGGGTAAACCCAAACCCTGCTCTTCTGGTCTGCTTCTGGTAGTCTCAGTTATCGCGATTTTGTGGTTCTGTTCATCGTCAGGTGAGTTTTGAGCTTTATGGTTTTGATTTTGCCAATTGTGAGTGGCTTTTCTTCGAATGTGTTATGGAGATTAGGGTTTTCTCAATTTCTTTTGCTTTAATTTTGGTAAATTTTGGTTTGATGTACTGTAAATCAGTTGTGGCTGGTGAGGTTGGAAACGGCGTCGTTTTGCGGGGGATTCAGAGGTCTTTGTTGGAAGTAAACGACACGTCCGGGAATTCGTCATCGTTGATTTTGGCTGAAGGAAGAACTCGCCGGAAAGATCCGCTCGACAATCTCCATTATTACACCGGCGGATGGAATATCAGCAACGAACATTACTTCGCTGTGAGTGTTTCCTGCTGAATTCTCTTCAATTTCTTCGAACATCGTCAGATTCAAATCGATAGTGATTATAGGAAGAAGATAGTATCGATCCTGATTTATGAGAAACTTCTTGTGCAATTGAATGAGTTTCTGCAAGAAATTGGTGAGAATCTTCTCTGCAACTGATGCATCGTGGTTTAGGAGAAACTGATCGTGAAATCGAATGTGTTCTTCGTGAAAATTGATAGTAATTTTCTCTGCTATTTGTGTAATTGAATGTGTTCTTCGTGAAATTGATGTTAATTTCTGTTATAATATCGGACTTTCTCTAAATCAAGATTTAGGATAAACTGTTTGTGTAATTGAATGTGTTCGTCTGCATTGTGATTTAGGATAAGCTGTTTGTGCAATTGAATGTGTTCTTCATGAAAATTGATGTTAATTTCGCTTACAATTTCAAACATTCTCTGTATATATCCGATGCAGTCTGTTCTCTACACTGGATCAGCTCTGTTCCTCATTGCCGCAATATGGTTTATCGGATTCGGAATTTTCTTGCTACTGGTCTGTATGTACTTTTGCTGCTGCAGGCGTAGGCGTTATGGCTACTCTCGATTCGCCTACGCATTATCACTCGTTTTACTGCTGTTGTTCACAATCGCTGCAATGTAAGCATTTCCTGTCGAAATTTGGTGTTATTCTCGAAATAATGATTTTTTTAATTTCAATTTGTTCGTTTGTATCAGAGTCGGTTCGATTGTTCTCTACACGGGACAAGGGAAGTTTCACGAGAGTACAAGAAGCACGCTTGATTACGTTTTAAGACAGGCGAATTCGACCGAACAAAACCTAAAGAACGTTTCGAATTATCTCACGGCCGCCAAAAGCATTCGAGTCGAACAAGTTTCACTCCCGCAAGACATGCAGCGGAAAATCGACGACGTGAATCGATTGATCACGACGGCAGCCGACACGCTCGATAGCGCCACCAACAATAACAAAGATGATATATACCGATATTTGGATGCTGTGTAAGTATTCTTTAACGTCTAAGATTTTGCTTGTTGGTTTGTTTTCGGATCGACTTTCTCATTGCCGTAATTTTTTGCAGCGGCCTCATTCTCATTATAGTCGCGGCTGTGATGCTCGCCCTCGCGTTCTTCGGTTTCTGTAAGGCGAATTTGGTTTTGAAATTGGCATTCCTTTCGGATTTTGATTAAAATTTTGATTGATCCTTACTGTTCTTGTCGAATCTTGCAGTGTTGTCCATCTCCGGGCTGCAATGTCTCGCTTACATGTGAGTTTTTACGACTCTCGGGTACTTATTTTTACCGATTCTCGTTTGATTTGATTGATTATTTTTGCGACTATCCGTAGATTGGTTGTGATCGGTTGGATTCTCGTCGCCATCACTTTCATTCTATGCGGCGTATTTCTCGTCCTTCACAAGTAAGCCTTGTCGTCGGGTTTTTTTTATTATTTCAGAAAAATATCTATTAATGGTTCAGTACGGTATATCGAAAAAAATTCAGTATTCCAGATTGTTTGTATGGTATCGATATATATAGTTTAATGCCGAAATACTAAAATTAAAAACTATTTATTTTATAATTTTAGAAAAAAATTAAGAGTAATAATTTTGGTATCAATACTCCTTCGGTCACTTAACAATTTGTCCATTTTTTTTTATGTTAAATTTGTCCTATAACAAAGTATTCATTTCATTTTTTAATTGACGTACTATCTTCCTAACATTATAAGTATTATTTCATATTTCAATAATAATAATTACACAATTTATATTTTTATATCGTACAATTCTAATAAGGTTAGTTTAATCAGAGGGAGTATATCAATTATCACTATGCCTTGATATATCAATATCAATATCAAGACAGTATACGATATTTTCGTTATATACTTGAAATGTTAAATTACTTATCGTTACTGTATCGAAAAAGTTCGAAATGATTTACAAAACTGAATTTTTCAATATTTTTTATTTTTCGATATAATATTGCATTATTTCGGTAATTCGATGGTTTTTTTTCCGATTCTAATTCGGTATGCGTCGATTGCGCAGTGTCGTCGGGGATTCGTGCGTTGCGATGAACGAGTGGGTACAGAACCCGGCAGCGCACACGGCGCTTGACGACATAATCCCGTGCGTCGACAAGGGCGCGGCGCAACAGGCGCGCGACCAGAGCAAGCAAGTCACCTACCAAACGGCAGAGCTCGTCAATGGAATCATCCGGAACATATCGAACTCGAACCCGCCCCGGGGCGTCGTCCGGCCGCCGCTGTTCTACAACCAGTCGGGCCCGCCGGTCCCGCTCCTCTGCAACCCGTACAATCCCGATCTGACCGACCGCCCGTGCTCGACTGGAGAAGTCGATCTGACCAACGCGACCGACGTGTGGAGGAACTTCGAGTGCCGGGTGGATTCGAACGACGTGTGCACGACCGTTGGCCGTCTGTTCCCGACGATGTACGGTCAGATGAGCGTCGCCGTAAACGTGAGCTACGGGCTGACCGAGTACGGCCCATTCCTCACCGACCTCGTCGATTGCACGTTTTTGCGGGACACGTTTACGGTGATCCACAACGAGCATTGCCCGGACCTCCGGCGGTACAGCCGGTGGGTTTATATCGGGCTGGTGATGGTTTCGGTGGCGGTGTTGCTGTCGCTAATTCTTTGGGTGTTGTATGCCCGGGAGCGGCGCCACCGGAAGTATACGAAGCTCGTTGACTCGCAAACGCCGGCGGCGCCGCCGCCGCCGGCGGTGGCTGGTTGAATTTCAGGTGGAGGTTGTGGTTTCTATATATATGTATGTATGAAGGTGAGTTTGTGTAGATGAAATTCAAATTCAAATTTGACTTGAATTTGGGTTTGCATTTGTTTGTTATTAGTTGATGTTGATTAATTTATATGACTCATTTGCCCTTTGCGGGAATTGTAGCGATTATTTTAACGCAGGGACATTTTCGACGTTTTGAAATTTGAGAATTTTGAAAATAGTATGGGTTTGTTCTTTTTTTCTTTTTTTCCCATATATTTTTTTTAAAAAAAATTAATAAATTACACACCTTTATTATTTTTATATTTTTTACATAATTTTTTTTATTTCAATAAAAGATTATTTCCAACAATATTACCAAACAAACACACCTTATAATTTTTATGATATGAGTTTTTCTGTTTTAAATTTTTTTATTAATAATAGATAATATTAAAAATTTTACAAGTGTATATGTAAATGGAATTTTGAGCTCCGTTTAAATAAGACATTTTTAAAAGTTTGGGAATTTCTAAAAAATTGGCAATTGTAAACTATCTTAAACAATTTTTTTTAATAAAATAAATTAATATATAATTGATCGATTATTTATTTTTATAGTATTTGTAAAAAATAGATAACAATTTATCTCCAAAATAATATTTTATTTAGAATCAAACATTAGTTTTGGACGAGATGGTGTTTCGTGCAACTTTGCATTGACACAATGTAGTTTCCCGCAATAAATAAAATATAAGGTGTTTTGTGCACTTTTACTAAAACACAATGGATGTTATATAATTTACCCGTTTGATAAATAATTTTATTTGAAGTATAGGAAATTGTGTATAATATAAAAATAATAAATATGTGTAATATATTAATTTTTAGAAAAAAATATGTTAGATTTTTTTTTCTTCAAAAATAACACACTAGTATTTTTTTATTTAATATTTTGTAAAAATATATATTTTCTAAAACAACCTGGCCCCCCAATTTGCCATCCCTAAATTAATCGAATTATGTAAGAAATTTTAGCAAATTGTAAATTTATTTGGTTTGAATTTGAAATTGAATTTTGTTTAAATTTATATTTTAATTTGATATTTTATAAAATATAATAGTGTATTTTATTAGAAATTGTAAGTGTTAGGTAGTGTAATAGTACTCCTACCATTGACAAAATTTATTTTAATTTGAATTGGAAACGAAATTTAATTTATTATACTATAATATATTATTATTAATTTATTTTAATTTACAATACGAATGTTTTAAAAACTGGACGAGTGAGTTAATGAAGTTAAAATTAATAATAATAATAATAATAATAATAATAATAATAATAATAAATTAAGTATATAAGTAGTGATGATATATTTGTAAGTAGTGATAATATCAAATAGTATAAATTAAGAAGTATATAACAATTATTTGTTATAAATAAAATATTTGGATGTGATTATATAAAAAAGAAATATAAATTTAATCGACAAATGAACTAGGAGTATAAATTATTTTACTCCCTCCGTCCCATTGAAATGTTACCATTTTTCATTTTTGTCCGTCCCAAAATAAGGTTACAATTTCCTAATCTAGTAATTGTACTACCTACTTAACGTAATAAATACCCTTTCAACTTACAATATATTACACAAATGTCATTACTTTTATATTACACCATACTAATAGGGGTATTTTTGTTTTTTTTACTACAATCCAATATAATACTAATATTAAAAAATTTATGTGCAAAAAACAAACATCACTCTTCCAACGAGACGGCGGGGGTATTTAAAATGCAAAACAGATATACTATAATTATTTGAAATTTATGTTCAAAATGATAACATATATATGTGAAAATAAAAAAATATGTTGATACTATTGTATGGATTTTTTTATTATAATAAAATATATTCCCTTCCAATACAATAGTTATATTTATCATTTTTGTTTGTCCCAAAATAATAGTCTTATTTTTATAAATAACCATATCACTATAAAATTATCATTATTTTTTCATTATTATTACACAATTGCCACTACTTTTACACCAATACTCTCACAATGACAAAAAAGTCTTTTATCTATAATTTTTACCAATTACTAATATAATATTAATACTTTTTAAATTCCGTGTCAAATACAACCGAGACTATAGTTTTAGGACGGAGGGAGTACTATATATATATATTCTCCCTCCGTCATGCAAATGCGTGCTTATTTGACCGATCACGGATTTTAATAAAAGTAATTAATAATTATTTTTTTTCCTTTATAGTAAAAAAATATAAAAATATAATAATTTTTTACTTAAAAAGAAAATAAGAATATTTTTCAACGATAATAAAAAAAAAAAAAAAAAGCTTAAATTTGAATTTGAATAACCAAAAAAGTATATAATAACGCTGGAGTATTTAAGAAGAAATGTACATCTATACATTTGACTTAGGGAAGTGTACGGGTATCTTCTTTTTGCAAAAATAATCTATATATATAATTTTTTAAATAATAATAATAATAATATATCATATATATTTACTATTTTTATATTACCTGCACTATTTATGTACTTCATATGAAAATAAATAAATAAATATCAATTTCAACTATTTTATAAAACAAACACAATCTACGTAAATATGTATGTAATATATTATCTCTGTTATAGCCTGAATCAATCAAATTATCCTTTATTCCAATATATTAGTTTTGTTTATCATTTTTGTCCATTTTAAAACAATAGTCTTATTTTTATAAATAATTATATCAATATAAAATTACTTATATTTTTTCATTTTTATTACATAATTGTTACTATTTTTTACATTAATACGCTATTTATTCATACTTTTTATCAATTACCAATATAATATCAATATTTTTTAAATTTCGTGTCTAACCTTATTAAGACTATATTTATCAAACGGATAGATAGCAGTATATATTTGATTTTTTAACCAATAATAAGATAATGTGTTGGATTACGTAAGAAATGTATTCAATTTTTTTATATAATATGTGTTAAATTAAACAATATTTTTTAATAAATTACTATTATTATTATTATTATTATTATTATTATTATTATTGCGGCAAGGCAAATGTTATGTATTTTGGATAAGGTTGGCCAACAGCCAAATACTGCCAGCCTGGTCAACCTAAAATTTGGCATTATCTCTATACATAATTATTACCACCAATAATTTAAACATATAAAATAAATAAATAGGAGTACTACATATATATTGTGGGATTCTCGTATAGTATTTAATCAGATATTGACTATTGGTGTAAAAAAAAAATACTCCAATCCGTCTCATATACCGTGTCTGTTACACTGTAGATACGGTATTTTAGGAGATGTGCAATTAATAGATAATTAAAAATGTATTAGTAAAAATAATTATCTTATAATATAAATAATTATAAATTAAAATTAAGATAACTAATTAATTTAATTAAAATAAAAAAAAATTAAAAATTTAAAATAAAATTAAAGTGTGTAATCATTTTCCAAAACACATGGTATGGTACGTGGGACGGACAGAAACGGCAACGTAGATATGGTATCTGGGACGGAAGGAGTAAGATATTTAAAAATTATTGCATTATACTATGTAACTTGTTGAATATGATTTTTTTGCCCTTTAATGACAATATTGAAATAGTATTTTTTTTTCAAAAAAATTAATATATTATATATATTTTATAATTTTTATATTATTTACACAATTTTTTATATCTGATACTTCTTTCGTTCCGAAACTAAATATTCATTTGCTTTTGTACGTATTTTTAGAAATATTAATATTATATTGGGATATAGTATGAATAAAGTAAAAATGACTAAAATACCCTTATTAGTATGTATGATATAAAAGTAATGATATTTGTGTAATATATTGTAAGTTGTAAGGGTATTTGTAATGTTAAGTAAATAGTACAGTTACTAAAAAAAAGAAAATTGATACTTTGTTATAGGACGAACTAAACGGTAAAAATAAATACTTTGTTATGGGACGAATGAAATATTAAAAATATCAAAATACAAAACAAACACATCCATATCCATAGTATACCTTCCATCCCAATTAAAGTGTTGGTAAACATATGAATTTAAATAAAATATAATTAACAAATAAGCAAGAAGTGTTTTTAGTAAAAATAATAATTATTAATAAATTTAATTATAAATTAAAATAACCAAATAATGTCATTAAAATAAAAAAATTATAAATTATAAAATTTAAAATATAATTAAACTGTATAATTATATGTTTAAAAAATAAAAATTTTGTGGGACAATCTAAAAAAATAATAATAATAAAATAATAATAATAATAAAAATTTTGTGGAACAATAGTAAAATAAAAATTTTGTTATCTAAATTTATTTTTATTTTTAGATATAAGAAACGTGTCGTGAAAAAAATAAAATAAAATATGTTAAAATATCAATTTTTATAATTGAATAGAATATATTATATGAATTGTAATTTTTGTTATAATAATAGTTGGAAAATGTATTTAATTTTTTATTAAATATATAAATATAACATATATTAATCTCAATATTAAAAGGTAATTCATAATTATTCCATTAGTGACCATATTTGCTAGACATTCAAACTTCGATTCCACCTTATCGACATATAATTTTAAAAATATTTAAATATATTTTTTAATTATAATTCTATTTATAATTATTCAAATAATATTAAAAAAAATAAAAATCTGAAAATACTATGTTCGTCCTTTTAATATTGTTCAATTTTTTTTTTTACAAATTTTAACGTAGGAGAGTTTGATTACTTTTTATCTTTTATATTAAAAAATATATAAAAAAGTGATACTCTTTATGCCATAGTAATGTAGCCTTGTACTTTTATATATTTTCTATGTCTCACAAATAAATATTTAATTTTTTTTAAATAATTTTAAAAATATTAATATTGTATTAAAATATAGTATGAATAAAATAAAAATAACTAAAATAATTTTACTAGTACGTGTAATATAAAAGTAATTACATTTGTGTAATATATTGTAAATTGTAAGGGTATTTGTAATGTTATGTAGATTGTACGATTACTCGGAATGAATATTTTGTTATGTGACGAACTAAAATGGAAAAATAAATACTTTATTATGGGACGGAGGAAATATTATATTAAAATATGTAAAATAATATATTTTTTTATAAAATTTAAAAGCATGCTACTATTTGTATATATTACTTTTTATATAATAAAAAATAAATACTTTGAATGAACATAAAAAAAATAAAATAAAATTAAAATTTTAAAATAAATTGAATAAAATATATTTTTTATTAAATAAAAAAAACATTCAAATAAAAAACAAATAAAGACAATTTTAAAAAAATTGAAAGTACTATTTTTTTAAAGATAGGTATTTTTTAAAAAAAGAAAAAATGATTTGTCATCAACAACCATTTAAAGCAACATGACAAGCAAGTTTTGGAGAGTCCAGGTGTACGACACCAGGAAGATCTAGACCGTTGATGAAGTGCGCTATGAACGGTGTAGATTAATCCGATCCATCCACGTCAGAGATACGCCACCGCTAAGACTAAAAACATCATCGGAAGCGTCGGATATTTAAAACCGACGCTCCAAAAAGTTGGCCCGCGCGCGCGTCGCTGAGTCATCTCCTAATCCCTTCAATTTAATTTTACATAATTATCTTACCATATAGTAGCAATTATCAATGCCTCTTGATTAGCATTTAAAACTATATTAATTAAAATTTATTACTTACCCTTCATTTTTTCTTTTAAATAGATAATTCCAAAAATTTAAAGAGAATATATTTTAATATTATTAAAGAGAATTTATGTCACCTTTTATATAAGTAAAGTTTTATATTTACCTATTCATCATAAATTAATTACTTTTTCAATAAATTACTATTTATAAATAAAAAATACATTTAGGGCGGTGGCTACCACGCGCTCGGTGGCGCGTGACGGAAGCTGATGCTCTACCCCATCCTTTCCATATCACAACTAGCGGACCGTTACAGTGAGTACGCACTATCCTAATTTTTTACTTTAAAAGAAGCTCTGGAGTTGCACTTATTTACAAGATTGCCATCGCCGGTTCACCACTATATATACGCTGCTTTTTTCGGTGCTTCGGTTTGCGTAAATTGAGAGGCGAAAAACGGTTTTCCAGATAATTCCCAAATCATTTTTTCACTACTGCCAAACCGTAAAAAGACACTATTTCCAGGGAACGTACAACACATGGAAGCGTCGTCAAGGAACAGATCCACGCAGGGTACAACCTTCCACAGCCTGCGCAACCACTTCCAACGATCTCTCTCCCCCACCGGCCGGTTCTGCTCCTCCTCCATCTCCGCCGCGTCCTCCGCCGCCTCCGCCTCCGCCGCCGCCTTCTCGCCGGATCAGCTCTACGCGCGGCCGACCAGTCCGACGCGCGTCAGCCTCGGTAGATCCGTTTCGCCGTCGTCGTCGGTGAGGTATTCCGCGCCGATTAGGCATCCGATTTCCGCGGCGGCGCACTGCCGGAAACAGAGCCAGAGCCGCCGGCCGCTCAATTCCGGCCAGAAAAAGACGTGTATGTGCTCTCCGACGACGCATCCCGGCTCTTTCCGGTGTAGCCTACATAAGAACAGTATAGTCCCCGGCTACGGCCAAGCGACGTCGTTCCGGTCGAGCCAGCAATTGCATATGCGCCGGTCCGCGATGACTAACTCGCTGGTTCGAATTGGAACGGTCGAGGGGGATCTGGTACGGAGAGCTCTAACGGCTTTGATTAGGCCGTCGTCGCATAGCCTCCGGCGCCGAGCCGACTTCCAGCCGCGCCGCAGCCGACTCTCGGTAATGTCGAAGGCTTAGGACGGTTGACGGCTTCTGCGACGGCGCCGGCGCCGGCTACTTTTCTGCCCTGTAGTCGTGTACAGTTTTGACTCGGTGAGTCGGCTCGCCGAGTGGACTCGGGCGGTTTGGAGTGTTCTTTTTTTTTTTTCTTATGCTGTGAATATTTTACATTGCATACTTCATTCTCTATTTTTGGAAATGAATAAATAAAATTGAAGGTGTATTTATTTATTTATTTTAAATAAAAAACATTACATCTTTTTAATGAAAAAATAATTTCTCCGGCCCGGCCATAGTCGTGGTATAATTAATAAATAATTAAAAATATATCAGTAAAAATAATTTTAAATTAAAATTAAAAATAAAAAATTAATTTAATTAAAATTAAAAATTATTGAATGAAATTAAAGTATATAAACAAAGAATATGTGAGACGTGATAAAAAGATGGACATTTAATATGTAAGACGAAATAGAAAAAGATAACAATGTAAGTTAAACGAATAAACCATTAAATTTTATAAAATATTATATTAAAAAATTACTCCACCAAAAATTTTAAATAAATATTTAATATGAATCAATTTAAAGTAGCAATCAAACAAATTCTTATTTCATGTAAATTTGATATATCTAATTTTGAATTATATTGGATTTGTTTATTGTATTTTTATATTTTTATTTGTCAAATTATTATTACAATATAAAACTAGCATTTAAATTCGTACTATGTATGGGTGTATATATAATTAAAATATGTTTAAAACAATATTGTAATGTAATTATATATTTGATAAATTTTGCATATATGATTTATTTATAATTTATAAAATAAATATATATAATAAAATTATTTTTATACTACATAAATAAAAGTAGATAAAATATTGTAGATGGAATCGTATATAATATAAATCATAACATTTAAGTAAAAGTTATTTTATAAACTATGAAAAAATATATATAATTTCAAAAAAAAAAAAGAAAAAAAAATAGTTATAATGTTAAGGTCTTTTTAAAATATGTGAATATTCTTCGCACCAATCTACAGTCATAACTTGAAATACAAAAAATGGGAGCATCTGGTCTTGCAAACGTTGTAAATACAGTCAAATAATTTTTTGGCATTTTTTTTCATTTATATAAATATAAATAGATAAGAAATATATATAATAAGTAATTCAAAATTTTTAATTAATACATATGCATTATCTTTCTTAAAAAATACTAAAACTATCTAAACAAATATATAAATATATCTAAATTTTCTCCATAAAACTATCTAAAAAAAATTTAAAGATACTAAGAACCTTGATACTTCATATCATATATACATATATATATATATAGACACAATGATTAAAGAAGATGATGTTGCTTTAAACGGAGTTATTTTCTTCGTCGTAATCGAGCAATTTTTTGTTCTGCTTTGATTGTATTCATCTATATAAACATAAATAGATAAGAAATATATATTTAATTATTGGAAATAAGTAAGTAATCAGCAAAAATAAGAAAATGGTGGGTCACCTGAGTGGACTACACCAGAGATAGACGGAGAGTCCTAATTTGCTTTAATTAAATTACTATCATCCAAAGAAATAAATAAAATAAAGTATAGTTAAGTCGTTTAAATTAAAAATTACTTACCACAACAAGAGAACTTCAAATCCAAATGCATCCATACTGTCAGCATCATCAATTTGAGAATTGCATCACAAGAAAAAATGGAAACAAAGTAACAATTAACAAATTGAAATAAAATCATTAACAATTAAATGTAGAAAAATATTAAAACTGTTCTGAATTTTTGAGATGTATAAATAACAACAAAATTACCTTAATACAAATTATTCTATAATATTCAACCTGATTTTTTAACCCAAAGCAAAATATGAAAATTATCTGAAGAGACAAATGCTTATCAATAAAAATCTCTGAGGAGACAAATGGTTGAAAGCGTAATATGAAATCCTCTTCAAAGAACGTAATATGAAACCATCTTAAAAAAAACAGATTCTTCAACCCAAAGCAAAATATGAAAATTCTCTGAGGAGACAAATCGTTAAAAGCGTAATCTGAAACTCTTTTCAAAAAAATACGTGTGAGTATGAGAGGAAGAAACTGCAAAAAAAAAAACGGTAAAAAAACTGTAAAATTTGAGTGAAACTGTAAAATTTGATTGAGTATTTCTTTATTATTTTCTTAATATTGAAAAATCTACAATTCAAAAATGCCAGGAATTAAGAGAGGGTTGTATCCACACCCTTTACTATATATATAGGATTTGGCTGCAATTAGAATAAATTCATAGACACTATTATCTGAAAAAATAGAATTTTAATGATAACGACTGCGAATTTTTAAGTTATAAAAATAAAATATAACACAACAAAAAAAAACTCATTTATTGTCAGAAATAATGTTCAAATTTAGTTCATTAGGTGCTATTTACAATATTTATTTATTTATTTCTTGTGGATCTAACAAGTCAAATTTTTATATAGACTTATATATATATATATTACTTGTTTGGAAAAGAGAAAAATAAAAAATAAAAAAAATAACAATACACGAGAATTTAATGTGGTTCGGTTTCACAACAGACCTACATCCACGATCCCAAAACAGAATAATTTACTAAAATATTTATTACAATTTTTATAAGGACAAAATTGCAAAATCTTCTTCACAACAACTCACCAATCTCAATTTCACTCTCTCTAATTACCAAAAAAAAATTGATTGTTATCATCTTCTAAAATAGGACCAAAATGGGTCAATTTACAGCAGTACTTTCTATGTGAGATAATGGAAGTTACACAACAAATTTGTGGATATTAATTCAATCAAATTCAATGTGTTATCATAAAAGGAGTGGGTGGTGGCTATTTAAGTGGAATTTATTTATAGTGGTATTGTATTATTGCATAACATGTACTTCTTTGGTTTGGTTCGCCTAAACTGATTTTATTGCTTCTGATTCCATATTATTATTATTATTATTTATTTATTTATTTATAGCTATGGGACTGTTGGCTTTTAATATAATGTGACTAAACAACTAAAAGTTTACAATTTTCATTTAAACACTAAAAGTGTATTCTTCCACAATTTCCAAAAAAAAAAAAAATTAATATACTATATTCATTAATTATTTTTATATTTTCTATATAATTTTTTATATTTCACATAAAAATATATATCTTTATCCTTAAAAAATTCTTGCTGAACAAACACACCTTAAGTGTTTCTTTTCAACTCATTTAAATAATATTTAATACAGTATTTTATTAAAAAAAATGTATATATATATAATGAAGATGTGGAGTCTAAATTTAAAAGAACTATAAAAAAAAAAAAAAAAAAAAAAAAAAAAAAAAAAAAAACCAATAGGGTTTTTTAACCTCATTGATAAAAATAAATATAAATTTAAGAGTATTTATAACCTATGCAGGAATTGTTGACTTATATTTTTAAATGGGTTGATTCCTCATAAACATTATTAAAAATATATATTATCACCGTCTCAATATAATAATTTTATTTATCATCTTTATTCGTTTTAAAACAACAGTCTAATTTCTATAAATAATCATATCACTATAAAATTATCTTTACTTTTTAATTATTATTACACAATTGTTACTACTTTTTACACTAATATACTCACAAGGGCAAAAAAGTCTTTTACCCGTACTTTTTACCCACTACCAATATAATATCAATATTCCTTAAATCCCGTGCCAAACCCAACCAAAACTATAATTTTGGGACGGAGTGAGTAATATACTCCCTCCGTTCTATAACTATAATCTTAATTGGGTTGGACACAAGATTTAAAAAATATTGATATTATATTGGTAGTTGGTAAAATGTACGGGTAAAAGATTTTTTTGCCCTTGTGAGTGTATTAGTGTAAAAAGTAGTAACAATTGTGTAATAATAATGAAAAAGTAAAGATAATTTTATGGTGATATGATTATTTATAGAAATGAGACTGTTGTTTTAAAACGAATAAAAATGGTACAACAAGACTTATTGTATTGGGACGGAGGGAGGAAGTATATATTTATTTATTTATAAAAAGTTAATTATTTAATATAAAATATCATCTTTGTATTATTAATACAATTTTTCACAAACTCAGAGATGTTACCCTTTATAATTAAACGGCACATGCAAAATTCCTCACAAATAAATTTTACTATATTTCAAAATATTAAATTTCTAAAAGTTTCAAATGCATTATTATTTAAATATTATTTTTTAAAAAAAAAAAAAACACATCACTTTAAATAATTCAATCAAATAGAAAATAAAAAATAAAAAATAAACCCATTAGTTTAAATTGATTTGGGTAACAAATTTCTCTAAATAAATAAATAAATAAAATGAAAGGCATGCCGGGGAGAGACGTGACGGGTGCGTTTGTTTTGGGTTTTAATTTGAAAGAATATTTTTGATATGAAATATATAAAATTGTGTACGTAATATAGAAATAATAAGTGTGTATAGTATATTTATTTTTTAAAAAAATATATATATTAAAAAAATTGACGTAAAAGAAAACAAAGCCTGCCTTTTCTTATCTTGGAATTGAAATTTAGTTATTTTATTGTATACACATTATAAATTTTTATTAAAAAAATATATTATTATTTTGTAAAATAGCACATTTAAATTATTATTTTAATTAAAATAAACAAAAACACAAACATTGAGAATTGATTGAAAGAGAACATATGGATATGGGAATGGGAGCACGCCGTGAATAAAATAAATTTTATTATACATTTCGTTACTTACATTTCAAATAAATGCACACCGAATTTATTGAAATGTGTGTTTTAATATCATCCCAATAAGAGTTTTTATTTACTTTTTACGTATTAATATTTAAATATTAATAATTATATCAAAATATAATACAAATTAAAAAAATTGTAAAAATACTTTCATTGGTGTCTTATAATACTAATTGATTGATGAACAATTGTACAAAAAAAATATATTTTTAATGTTAAGTACAATAACGCAAAAGCTATTATTTATATAATTTTAAAAAGTAAATTATGGATGCATTTGATTAGTATTTTAAATGTAAATTAACATTATTTAATCATATATTTTTAGTAAAAATATATTATCTTTTTATAAAAAAATATTTAAATTAGGGTGTGTTTGTTTGGAGGATTGGATTTTCAATCCACTATTCATCTCA